ATTGTTGGTGGAGAACAGGACGTGAGCAAGTGCACTGATTTATGTTTCAATCGATGCTGGTTGCAGAGGGGTAGAGTGATGTCACCGCTGCACTACAACCTAATCATCACTCCTGTGCCAACATTGCACTTTCTGCTATTGACTCACAGAGATCCTGCCGTCCTTGTCATTGACACGAGCATTGTTCCTCTTCCAGGAAACGGTGGGCTCGGGGTGACCCCTGGGAGGGACGCACTCCAGCACAGCAGGTTCTCCTGCTGCCACCACCACATCATTGGGAGGCTGGCGGAAATCATCCCTGAGAACTATGGGAGATTGAGACAAGTGTTAGCTGTATGCTGTGCTGTGTTTGTTAGGTATGTTTTCATCTGCTCCCCTGTGCGAGCTGTTTATTCATGGATCTTCATTGAGGAACTTGGGAATTGTGAGTCAGAGATGAATGAGGCGTCTTATCTTCGCTTTCTCACAGCTCCTGTGCTCCTTCCTGTATGTAATGCCTTGGCTTTCTCATCTTATCAATTATAAAGTGTTTTCATGACAACACATTCACATTTAAATACAGCTGAATAATTGACCACAGAAAAGAGGCATGACATGACTAGGGGTCTGCTCCAAAATCTAGTGAGCTGCCTTCTATTTACACTACTGTTCAAAAGTTTGTGGTCAGTAAGATTTTTTAAAAAGTAATTAATACTGTTATTCAGCATGGATGCAATGACAGTAAAGATATTTACAAGGATCTTGTGAAAATATACAATGGAGTAACGTCTAATTACGTTACTAATAACGTCTAATCCTGCTACCACAGGAATAAATTAAAATTTAAATATCTAAAAATAGACAGTTATTTTAAATGGTCATAATATTTCACAATCTTGCTATTTTTTTTACTGTATTTTTGATCAAATAAATGCAGCCTTAGAGAGCATAAGATACTTTTTTTTCTCCAAAAACAGTGAAAATCTTACAGACCCCAAACTCTGAACAGTTATGTACATAAGTAGGAACCTCATATGTGACCAATTTGGAGCACTCTACATAGGTAGAAACTCTGCGTGCCACAAAAATATTGATCTGCATGAGATATAACTCAGAATTGATGTCAACAGTGTATGACATATGTTGCTAAGTTCTAAGTAAGTTCTGAAATAAGCATACAAATACATAGAACAGACATATATTGGGTAAATTTATGCTTTTTTGTAATTAGAATATTTATTAATTTACCTATTATTTTTGGTACCTTTTTGTTCAGAATTAAAGAGATAGTTCACCCAAAAATGAAATTTCTGTCATTAATTACTCACCCTCACGTCATTCCAAACCCGTAAGGAACTAGGTTCATCTTCGGAACACAAATTAAGATATTTTGATGAAATCCGAGAGCTTTCTGACCCTCCATAGACAGCAACGCAACTACCACATTCAAGACCCAGAAAGATAGTAAGGACATTGTTAAAATAGTCCATGTGACATTAGTGGTTCAACCATAATTTTATGAAGCTACGAGAATACTTTTTGTGTGCAAAGAAAACAAAAACAACAACACATGTCACATGGACTATTTTAATGATGTCCTTACTACATTTCTGGGCCATAAAACATTTCAGTTGCGTTGCTGTCTATGCAGGGTCAGAAAGCTCTCGGATTTCATAAAAAATATCTTAATTTGTGTTCTGAAGATGAACGAAGGTCTTACGGGTTTGGAACGACATGAGGGTGAGTATTTAATGACAGAATCTTCATTTTTGGGTGAACTATCCCTTTAAAACTACACTAAAATCAACATTTCACTCTCCTTGACTTGACTCACAATTATTTACAACAGTTTGATGTTAGCATGTCGTTAACCAAACAATCCACTTATCAGAGTGCCTTTCAACAAATGTCACAATGTCCTATTAAGCACAAAAACAGAACACACACAAAAACTGTAAAACAGTAACATTTTGAATAGACTGAACTATTTTCAGAATTAATTATATGTTCCTCTCACTTTGTTGGCCTTGTTGTATTATTATTTTTTTGCCTCTCCACAAAAAATAGTGTAATGTTGCCTTAGAATTTGACCAACACAAGGTATCTTACAGTATATTGTGTTCATGTCAGTAAGTTTGTATTAACCAGTTGAACACACATAAACGTCAACACAAAATAATAATTACAAGTGGGAAATGTGTGATTTTCTTTGAAAATTGAAACATTTTTTAAAGGATTAAAAAAATCGGGAGCCCTGAGTTTCTGATTTGGGGGCATGTTAGTCAGAAACATGGTGGATGAAATGGATACAGCACCTGTAGTTGACAGTAAATTTGTTGAAATGAATGATTATTTTTCCAATAAAACTAGCTAAGTAACATGTATAAAATACAACTGTACAATTATAATAAATGATAATATGATAATTTATTGCACCAACATAAACTGAATAAAAACAAAGCAAAAACACACCTGATGCTCATTCTTTAATAATCGTTTTGCAGAAGGAGAGTTTAAATGCTTTATTTTTTGTGCAAAAGGTACATCGACATCCAATCAAAGTGATTTGAACGCACCTGCCATCATAAATACAACTTCACAACTCATGTATACGAACTTCCCTGGACCTGAACAAAACGTTAATAGACAGCTCACTAGGTTTTGGAACACAACTTCAAAGTCTCGCAAAACAAAATCCAACAGGGAAGCCAATGCTTAAACTCTGCAGACAGCCACATTCAACAATGGCTGGTTGTGCTGACCTTACTAAGCATCAGTGTTAACAGTAAACACAGTGAACTCTGCCCCCTTCTCTTTTCTATGCCTATACCCTTCACACTGAGAGCGAACGGCAGAATGCTACATTCCCCGCTGTCTGGCTTGGCAGGAAAAGTTACCCATAAATCCCCAGTGGTGATTGACAGATTAAAAATGCGACCCCTGCCCTATGGCAGCTGCCTCAGGGGGGCCTTTGAATTTCCTACATCAAAGGGTGAGCTCCTACGGGCTGTAGACTCTCACCAGCGGCTGCTACAGAGCCTCACACACACATACAAGCATAAATGCCACTCATATTCTCATCTCTGTGAAATATAAATGCATTTCGGTAATAACGCACACCGTTGTCCACAAATTAATCACCAATCTGACAGCCGCAATATCTTCCCATCTTATCTCTTAAACACTTTGTGGATGAATTTTTTCGATTAACACCTCAATTATAAGGTGTAATCTCACCTGTCGTGGGCTGCAAATGAAATCGTAGAATGTAAAGCATGAAAATTATTCCAAATAAATAAATTCAGCCATCGATTCATATTTATGATATGACCTGTGCAGCATTTCGGCTGTATTACCGAGTCCTGGCTACACCGTCCCTTGGCAGACTTTTATAAATGCAATGACTTGCGATAATTACTTATAAATATTCATTGAAATGTCATGTTATTGGTGAGATCCAGTGTGCCAAGTGCTCCATTTTCTTTGTTAGTTAAACTCATGCTCATCTCCTGTCTCTGAATATTCATATCTTTCAGGCTGGGACAAATGGTGCGGGTCTGTCTATGGACAGTAAGTGACTCACTTCAGAATTTGAAGTGGTCATCTGTCAGTCTGGGCACCCAACCTGACCATAACCAACTTCAACACTCCTCCATCCAACACAATCTGCCACATTCCTGTTCATTTAAACCTTCTTCACATTTTAGATTTTTAGAGGCAAATCAATAGAGGCAATCGTCGTTGTGCCAAAAATATTGTGCCTAAATATTGATTTATTAATTGCTGACCTTTTCAATAAGAGACTCTGATCTCTTAGCATGTTGCTAAGTTAGCAACACAAAGCTAGGTGACTTGATATTTTTCAATATTGAATGAAATACTCATTTTAAAGTGGCACTTTTAAAGTGAAATAGGCCTATCTAATGAGTGGTGCCAAAAACGCAAGATAAATGTGAATCTACCAATGTTTTATTAGTTGGTTGTTGTACAAATTCAACCAACTAATTGCAATTCAGAAATTAAATGTCCGGTGAGTGGTGGTGCTAGAAGGTTAATGCTTTATAGCATTTAAAAAAAATGTACCACATGCATTAAACTCTACTCTAAACCTAACCTATATGTTAACAAAAGCAAAAATGCATTTGCTGAAGCAAACATGGAAATTTAGGCTTTGAGCTGTTTTATCATGACTCGTCGTGTTTCACATGACTTGTGCAATTCTGTACCAGGTGAGCTACTGAGCAAGTTTACAATGTCAAAAAAAGCCATATTTATGGACCTGGTTATGTGATGCGAATGTCAAAATAAATAAGTTTTACAAATCACACACTATGGTAAAAATGTTAAGGTTCTAACATAGTTTTATCAGCCCCTGTAATTATAAATTGTAAAAAAGGAATAAAAGTTGTTGATGTTTTACTGCCACTAGTGTTGATTTCAGCTGGTAACTGCAGTAAACTTGTAAAAATGTAGGTAGAGGCATGTTTTTTCAAGGATTATTTCAATAAAATTCATAAATTGACTTTATACAAAATATAGTAATAAAACAATAAGTGCCTAAATCCAATTACACAACAGATTTAATATTTAGTTGAAAATGCTATCAACCCAACAAATAAATTCATCCCCCAAAGGCTAATTATTTTTTTAAATTGACTATAAAATGATTCACTTGTCCCTTTCCCCCGTTGGCCCGTAAGATCTGCTGATTCCATCCATCATTGTCTGTCACTTTTAAATAAGTATCCACTCATTCCCTTGGGCCACTCTATCAGTGTACAAACAAAGCACAGGCCTTCCCTAGTCAAGTCAAGTCAAGTCACCTTTATTTATATAGCGCTTTTAACAATACAGATTGTGTCAAAGCAACTGAACAGCATTAATTAGGAAAATAGTGTGTCAATAATGCAAAATGACAATAGTAAACACTAATTTTTCAGTAAAAGGCAGTCCCTAGCATATAAAAAAAAGTTTTTACAAGAGAAAGAGTGCAGATGTTGCAGAAAAGTGCCCAACCGACCAACGGCACACCCAACACAGACATCTGGCCCGTTCCACAAAAGCCATCTCATCTGGTGGACACCCTCCAATCGGTGCAGATCCGATGGCCACTCTGATAATGAAAGCTGACGGCAAGGGTGACTGATGGCCCCCAAACAGAAACATAACAAAATTGGTATAATACATATATGCATGCATGAGCTTGCAAATTGGCAGTGTACATACATTCTCTGTCCCCTGCAGTCCACTGTGGTGGCCCGTCACCTCCTGAACAGGATTTAACTCGCAGGAGGCATATGCACAAGCAAGGACAAGGACAGGCTGTTCCCAAACAGCCCACAGCATGTTGCATTTTTTAGGAGATGAAGCCATGTGTTATTCATGAGCACTGGTTAAGAAAAGAGAGGGTAAAATAGTGTCACCGTTTACCTAGAGCCGGCCAGCCCGCACACAAAGCTCGTAAGTGCCCTCGGCGATACCACATGCCTAGTTATGGGAAAGAATGATACATGCTTGGCTCTGACAGGGTTTGTCCCTCTTGGCGGTGTGTTCAGTAAGCCATTCGTTCCCCCTCTCATCCTCTACACTTTATTACGAAGCACGAAAAAGGGAAAGCAACGTGATTTTTAATCATCTGTGAGGTGAGTGACATGAGCAGAGAGACTCATTAGCTACAGCTGAAAGCCTGAGTGGGTCACATGACCGGCACAAAACATTACGGTCATTCTCTCAATTCTACTTGGCTTCCTTCCACCAAGCAGACCGTGCACAGCAAAATCATCATCATCCCTTACATATGCTGTACAAGCCAATTACTTCAGCTGCTAAAATTATATATGGAAATAAATCGACATGAATTAGCAATAACTTATTCCTTATACATTGGCTGTCTCAAAATCCAGCAGCATGCTTTCTAAGACAGCATTCTGCGCCCACAATGATTGCAAATTGGTGCTCGAGGGTCTGCAGAAAATTGCTGAGGACAAAAGTTAATTGTGAAAAGCACTATACAAATCAGTTTGAATTAAACCCAATGTTTTTCTTCAGGTTTCTATATCTAACACTACAGAAGTATTATTGTTTATTAAAACTTTTAAAAAATAGTTTCTGTTCATTCAAAAAAAGCTAAAATGAAATAAAATAAATATTAGATGAAAAACTTAAAAATCTTAAAATGTAGAGATTTTTAATAAATATAAACTAGATATAAAAATTTATTAAACAAACTAACAAAAATCACAATGTACATAAGAAAATTATGAATACTTAAATTAAAATTAAAACTGAAAGTATAAAATTAAAGGTTCAAAATATTAAAGGGGTCATATGATGCGATTTCAATTTTTCCTTTTCTCTTTGGAGTGTTACAAGCTCTTGGTGCATAAAGAAGATCCGTAAAGTTGCAAAGACTAAAGTCTCAAATAGATATTCTTTATAAAAGTTAAGAGTCAACCACGCCTACCTAAAACGGCTCGTTCTAGCACGCCCCCACATATCTACGTCACGATGTGGGAAGATTTGCATAACACCGCCCAAATGTTCACGCAAAAAAAGAAGGCGTAACTTTGCAGCACATTTTATGGAGGACCGTTGCTGGCCAATCACAGCACACCTTGCTTTTTCAGACCGATGAGCTTTGTAAAAATTTACGCGTTTCAGAAAGGCGGGGCATAGAGGAGAAACAATAATGTACAGTATGTGGAAAATAATGTGTTTTTTGAACCTTAAACCGCATAAACACATTTCATTACACCAAATACACAAAATAATGTTCTTTTTAGCAACATCATATGACCCCTTTAAATTCAAGTTCAAAATATTAATAGAAAAATGTAATTGTACATAAATAATATGAAAATAGCACTGCATCACATGTAATATTTTAATAAATCTTTGCTTTAGTACAATATAAACATTATATATATATACACACACACAAAATATACTATCTATCCAGCACATGTAATATTTTGACAAATACATTTTGCCTTAGTACAATATAAATGTAAAATGACATGTATATTTTTTAGGGGACATTCCATAGTCGTAATGGTTTTTATACTGTACAAACTGTATTTTCAATCGCCCTACACCAACCCTACACCTAAACCTACCCCTTACAGAAAACTTTGTGCATTTTCAAAATAAAAATAAAAAACTTAATTATAAGCTTGTTTCCTCATGGGGACAAAAAAAAATGTCCCCACAAGGTCAAGGATTTTGGATATTGCCATCTTTGTGGGGACATTTTGTCCATAATTTAGGGTATACCTGAACCACACACACACACACACACACACACACATCTCTTAAAAGCATAAAATGGACCAAACAGCCAATATATTTTTGCCTGTCTGCTCTCTTTTACATTACAGCTCAGGACAGTCACTATTAATTTTCCTGAGTCATTAGTCACATAACGCATGTTTCCAGAAATGTGGTCTCTCTCCTGGTAGACCCCCTAGCAAGGTAGTTACTATGGTAGGTACTATGTTTTCAGACACAACCATTGCTTTCATAAATAAGTAACTAATCATTTGGGCTTCCCATTTTCATGAGTTCCTGTTAGGTTATTACATATGCTACCACACTGAAACCCCTGCAGTGAACATGACATAAACATATTCATCACCGCACCCAAAAATTTTTAATTTGTGATCACCGGTATTCCGACAACTCATGATTTTGAATTATAGGAGCAAAAGGACATTTCACAAGCTGAATCTCACACAGGTCGGGCTCATTTCAAAAGGCCAGAAGCCTTTCTTCTCCACCCCCCCTGTAGAGATCATGGAATGATGGTAAATGACAAGCCTGTTGGGATGTACATTATTAATAGCCCACCACTGACTCACCACGCGCTCTTTCTCCTTCTTTACACACGGCCGCTCATTTGCCCCCACTATGGAGACTCACAACACATTCGCCCGTTTGTGACTCAGACGTTGGTCTTAAAAGGACAATCATTCTAACCTGAAGAATCCGTGTTGGGTTTGACAAGCGGCCATCTGTTGGTGTGTGTGTGTGTGTGTGTATGGGAGTGGGAGGAGACTTGTGAAATGTTTCAAGCTAACTGAAGCACTCCTACACTTTCAGCCTGACAATTACATGCGAAATTATGCTAACCGCTAACGTGTAATTATATGGTGGTGCATGAACGTGGATGTCGTTGTGAAGGTTACGGCCGGCCGGGATTCTGACACACAGCTGGAAGTGTGTGTGGACTAGACAGGATGTTGTTATTGTTCATTTCAGAGCCACATAAATAAATCCATCCCAGAGGTGGGCTAATCCCACGCTACTTTATTCCCCGTGTCGAAACTCGGCTAATCGACCCACCCAGAGAGACGCTGACTGGGTTAATCTGCACGTCTTTTGTGCTTACTTCCGTTTGGACTGATAACATCCCATTCTACATCTCTTTCAGGCTTTTATGTGCTTTCTTGAACAATCAATAAAAGGACAGAACTTGGTCGGAAATTGTCTTCCTGAAATGAAACGCAACAGCTGAAAATGTAACGCATTTTACATGAAACAGACAAAGAGCATGGAAGATATGCGATATAAAATGCGATTGGTTATGTTCAACAACATTGTGCATGCAAGAAATCCCATAACAGCCCTTCAGAGGGTTTAGATAAGAGCGCATGGGGAAAGATGTATTAGGGAAAAGAAAAAAAGAAATAACAGGCTCCACTAGTCGCACTTGCCATTTGTCATTCTGCCATTATGACAAGCGTCAGATTAAGCAGTGGTCCTGTGGCATACATATGTTAGGTGGATAATACTGTATCCCCCAATATACGGCAGTCTAGCATTGCATGGATTAATATATTAGTGTAAGACCCAGATTCAGTCTTCTCTTACTGGTGAACCCTTTAATATTACAGAACAACACTGGCTTTTCATAAAATGTACAAATGTTTTTGTTTGTCAAAGACCTTGAAATGCAAGAGCAACAAAAGCGTTGAATTTAAAGAGCGATTTATACTTGCTATGGCTGTTTAAACCTTGATGAATAAAGTCGCTTTTAACATTTTCTTGAAAAAAAAAGTGAGTGGATGCTTGAAACTCACTGCTGTAAACATAGGCTTTTGTCCAAAGACACATACTGTCAGAACATGTGCTGAATTTGAATTAGTTTCTTCTCAACTCTTCTCAAAGTATGCATGCATTGTCATGTGTAGAGATCGACCAATATATCGATTTACCAATATTTTCCCGATATTTAAGCATTTTACCATAATCGGATATCGGTTTTGCAATATCGGATTCACCGATAAACGCCGCCATCTTGTGGGTGTATTGAGAATTGTGCGCAGGATCGCCACTGCAGCGCGTCTGAGGGGAGACGAGACAACAACAACGGCATGATGCGTGCACTTGATTTGCTCTAGTTAGTAAACTTTATTTAACATAACAGCCATTTATGCACAAATAAGCGATCGCAGTTTGAGTATTGTTCTGTGCAACTGCATAGATAAACCGCACTGTCAGCAGGCATTTCATAATCTAGTCTAGTTAGTAAACTTTATTTAACATAACAGCCATTTATGCACAAATTAGATGCATTACATAAATGCCTGATATGTAGTTTATGTAGCTTGGCTCTAAGAAATAGAGACCAACTCACAGTCCTGTCCCAGTAAAGAAGTAACTTTGCCTGAATTAAATAATATGCAGCCATGAATGAGCGTATGTTGGAAATAAAAGCACTGAATTGAATTCTCTCTCTCTGTTGTCTGCTCATCGTTAGTCTCGTGAAGTTGGAGTCACGTAGATAATCCGTCAAGATCTTACAAAGATTAAATTTAACATGAAAGACTGCTGATTTTCAACACACAAAAAAAAAAAAGATGACTGAAAAGAGGAAAAACCAAAGTGAAGTATGTTCTTGCTTCACTCAGTCATTTATTTACTTTATAACAGTAAATAAATATCGGTTCCGCATATCGGTTATCGGGCACATAAACATGCAAATAATTAATATCGGTTATAAAAAATCTATATTGGTCGATCACTAGTCATGTGACCAACACTGTCTTTGTATTGTCAGAAAAAAATGGTAAGTCTGAATTCTTGATATTTTAATTGACAATCATTTTAATTGAAATATAGCTGAAATAAAATATAAATATTAAAGGGATAGTTCACCCAAAAATGAAAATTACCCCATGATTTACTCACCCTCAAACCATCCTAGGTGTATACTGTATGACTTTATTCTTTCAGACGAATACAATCGGAGCTATATTAAAAAATGCCCTGGTTCTTCCAAGCCTTATAATGGCTGCAAATGGGGGTCCAGCTTTTGAAGCCCAATAAACTGCATCCATCCATCCATCATAAAAAGTACTCCACATGGCTCTGGGGGGTTAATAAAGGCCTTCTGAAGTGAATTGATGCATTTGTATAAGAAAAATATCCATATTTACAACTTTATAAACTATAATCACTAGCTTCCGCTAACTGTCATACACACGTTCACGAGAGAGTGGGGTTTCAGCAGATGACGTAGGACGTAGGCGTAGCGAGCTTCAGAAGGTCTTTATTAAACCCCCGGAGCTGTCTGGAGTACTTTTTAT